CAAACCCCGTTAATTAGTTTAAGGACGCCCCTTCCCCCCCCAACTCTTTCTGCAGTGCTGGAAATTCTATGATTTTTTTCGGAGAAAAAAATAAAAAATAAAAACATATAAATAAATAAAACGAGGGTCCTACTCGCAATTTAGTTTCTCCAAAAGCAACTGCTCATTACCCCAACTGCTCATTACCCCAACCGCTAATTACAGCCCCAGATGCGCGCCCCCGGGGGGTGGCGCGGGCGGGGGCGGCGCTGGCCCGGCCGTGGGCTTCCCTTCGCCGTCCCAGCCTCGAGGCTCCGCTCAGGCATAGGATGACAAAGGGAAGCTCACAGGGACGGGGCTCCTCCAACGGGACGTCCTGGAGCCGACCCTGCGGACAGAGGGGAGAAATGAGCCGGGATGGGGAGGAAAGGGTGCAGGAGCCGGGCCGGGGGGCCAGGAGACCCCAGCAGTGCAGGGGACAGCTGGGGACGTGGAGGGGCCGCAGGGGTGCGTGCAGGTGACACACGCTTGGGTTTTTGGGGGGATATCGATGTGTGTTTGTGCAGGTGCATGCACAGGCATGGAAGGCAGTGTGGGGAGGGTGCACACGTGCGTGTGCATCTGTGTGTGCATCCTTGTGTGCACATGTGCATCCGTGTGCTTGCACACCCGTGTGCGTGCGTGCTCCCGGGCATCCGCACGTCCGTGCACGTGCACACGTCGGCGTCTGCACAGTGCCTCTGCGTGTGACTGCGTGGGGTGCAGGGGTGCAGCGAGCCCTGGGTGCACGCACGCCCTTGTATGCACCCCTGCACCATGCGTGCACCCCTGCGTGCCCGTGCGTGTGCATGCACACACGTGTGCATTGCAGCACTGCGTGTGGTGGCAGCTTTGCCCCAGCAGGACGGGACAGCCCTGGGCACAGGGGGCACCCAGTGTGTCGTCCCCAGGGACCCCAAAACCCCCAGGCCCTGGGCCCGGACGCAGCACCCGCTGCCGCCCCGCTCACCTGGCCGTGCAGAGCGATGCTGCCCACGGATCCTCTGCTCTTCCTCTCCTTCCTCCTTCCCTGCATCCTGGGCAAGCGTCCGGCAGAGCCTGTCACCGCGGCCTCGTGCCCCTGGTCCTTCCCCTCGCCCTTTTATACCGTCCTCGTTCATATGACAAGCACGTGAAAAACGGAGCCGAGCTCGGAAAAAAAAAAAAGCTCCTTAAGGCGCTTTAATTCACTCCGCGTCGTCCCATGACTGAGCTCGGCCTGTGAGCGGGGTCTCATGACCATGGCGCAGGGTCCCACCAGCAAAAGCCGCATTGATGCCCCCCCGCTCGCCCCACTGCGACTTAACCCCCTTGGCCGGGTCCCCCTCGGCCCTGGCCGATGCTCCCGGCACCAGTCGGGTCCCTCCCGCCTGCCCGGGGTGCTCGAAGCCTCGGGGAGCAGTAGCTGCAGCTCGTGGTCGGGGATGTCCCCAAGGGCACGTCCCCTTCCATGCACACACACACACACACACACACGTTGCACATCCATGCACACATGTGCACGCGCGCTCCCAGCCCGTCATTTCCCGAGCCATGAGCACACGGAGCCCCTCGCTCACTGGGGCTGCGACTTCAAGACGATCCAAGGGGCACTGGCCCTGTCACCCTCCCTTATTCTGGGAATTTGCCCCATTCCCAAACTGCCCGGGCTCCTCCTGCCTCTCCCAAACTGGTGCCAGAAGCTTGAGGGCAGCTCAGGGCCCAGGAAGGCATCGGCACCTCCCATCCCCTGCTCTTTTTCCCTTCCGTTTGAGCCAATGTTTCCTCCTTCGCCTTTCCAAGTGCAGGGCGCACATTCCGATCCCATTCCCGGCATGGCTGGGATGGGGAGGGCGACCCCTGCGCCAGCAGTGCTGGGTCCTGGCCCCTCACAGGGCACCTCGCAGGTCCCGGTTTTGGGGACCAGGCTGAACTTTTCCACCCTTGTTTTTCCCAAGGAGTAAACAGGGAGCCAGACAAGCCGGGTGCCCTGTTCGCGCAGCCGAGCCTCCCCGAAGGACCCGCAGTTCAACAGGAAACAGGCAGCAGTAAGAGGATAAAAATACATTTGCTGCAAACAAAACATCTCTGTGCTGGGATTAGGGAGCTGCAGGCTATTCCGGCCCGGCGGCGCTGCCGGGGGCCGAGGGAGCCGGGCACCCAGAGCAGGGTAATCCCAGCACGGCCGCACGCGGAGACGATCCTGCTGCTGCTCCTGCTGCTGCTCCCGGCCGGGGTGGGGGACACGGGGCCGAGGAGCTGGGGGGTCTCAGGGACACGCGTGATGCTCGGACGAGAGGCACCCTGGAGCACGGAGGCCCCGGAGCTGCTCCAAGTGTGGCCTAAGGAGATTATTGCTCCGCACATGACTCCGATGGGAACCATGGGGAGGAGGGGACGTGCAGGCGACGCGGGTGCAGGGAGCTCGAGGGGCCTCGGGTGGCACTGGGGCTTTGCAGGGAGCCAGCACCGAGGGCAAGGGATGCCCAGACCCAGGAGCAGGGAGAGGGGCTGGATCAGCTCACGGAGCAAATGCAAGGCTCAAAGGGACCGGTGCCGAGCGGGCACCCTGGCAGATGGGCACACGGGCGAAACCGTAAATCTCAGCTCTTTATTCAGGGCCCCCTTTCCAGCCCAGCCCCATGAGGCAGCAGAACAAGGGCGACCCAAACACGGGAGGCTGCTGTGGAGGGGGGCTGGGGACAGCACACAGGGGACGTGGCAGGGAGGCGGCGCTGGCACCTCCTGCGCCCACCCCAAAGGTCCCCCAGGGCTGCGGGGCATCCCCTCGCCCCGTGCCAGGGAGGCTCCATCCCAAGCTCCATCCATGTCCTGTGTCCCATGCTGGAGAGCGGCACGATGCAGCGATGCCTGGGAAAGGAAACAGGACCCCCCCAGTCCGACCCCTCTCCCCCCGCCTTATTGCTATAGTCAGACCAGCAGAGCAGCCAGGGTGAATTGAGGGGCTCCGTGTTTCCTGGAAAGGGGATGGAGATGCGTCCAAAGCCCAGGAGGGGCCACCAAGGGCTCACGTCCTTCTCTTCCCTGCTGCGGGGGAAAGGAGGGCGCTGCCGTCTCCCCAGCCCAGCCCACGGTCCAAGCGGCGTCCGGGTCCCGTGGAGAGGAGAGCCGGGCTTGGATCAGAGCAGAACCGCCCCGTCCCGCGCAGGGCATCCTCGCCTCTCCCGAAGCCGGAGCTGGGACCGCAGCTGAGGCCGTGCAGACTCATCTCACCTCCGGCAGCAGGGAGTGTGTGCGGGGGGGAAGGAAGGGGACAGAAAGGCCCAGGAAACCCCCTTCCCACCCCATCCCAGCCCGCCCGCGCCGGGCTCAGGTGCGCTGGCTGGCCAGCTCCTGGGAGATGAACTTCCGAAGGCGCTCGAGGTACTGGCTGTAGAGTTCAATGTCATTGTGCCCGGCCCCGTCCACCCAGAGCGGCTCCCGGCGCCGCTCGAAGAGCGCGAGGCCGTGCGAGAAGTCGATGACTTCGTCCTCCGTGCCGTGGATGATGAGGACGGGCGAGGTGATTTTGGAGATCTTCTCGATGCTGCCAAGGAGGCGGGAATAGACATTGGGTAAATATGGAAATACGGATGGGGTCCCTCTCCCATTCCTCCTCCTCCACCCCAAAATATCCCATTGGGAAAAGGGATCAGGAAATGCCCTTTGATCCCAGTGCAGGGACACGGGGAGCTTGAGCCAAGGCTCAGCTCCAGGACATCCCCAGCACGTGACAGATGAGGACACACGAGGACAGACGAGCAGTGACAAGAGCCCCGCGGGACCCCAGCAGAGGCTGATGGAAATGGCTCCGGGAGAGCGCGAGGCCGGGATCGAGTGCAGGGCCCGGAGGAGGGAACGCGCTGCTGGTTCCCAGAGGCCCCGGGACACAAGGGCCAGGCGAGGCTGCGCGGACGCAGCGCGTGGGCCGGGCGCTCCCGGCACGGCTTCCGGCAGGGCCGGAGCTCATCCCGTCCCATCCCTGCCTCCCCCTTCCAGCTGCCACCTGCAGGCACCGTCCCTGCCACCCTGGAGGGGACAAACGCCCAAGGAGCTGCGCGGAGAGGGACCCGGGACCACCTAGACTTGTGACACCCAACAAGGGGGCTGCTCAGGCAGCCCTGAGGTCACGAGGCAGAGATGTTGGGACAGGATGTCCCAGAGGCAATGCCACCAGGGCACCGCGCAGGGGACAGGGCATGGTGGCTCTGGGGACAGGGCATGGTGGCTCTGGGGACAGGGTGTTGATCCCCCCAAAGGGACCCATCGCAAAGCAGGAGGATCCTGATGGACACATTCAGAGCTGCTGGGGCAAACAGCTCCACATGGTCCCATTTTTTGCCGTCACCCTTTGTTACAGCCCCCACCAGGACTGGGCTGCTCTGGATTCTGTCCCTGCAGAGCTGTCCTTGTCCCCTGTTGCCCAGGCCACTCACTTGGGGAAGGCATCGAAGCAGTAGGTCTTCTTGGTCTCGGGGAAGGCGACTCTCATGCCAGAGGTGAGCGGGGAGTGGAGCACGATGGCCGCGCACTCGTAGCGGGAGGCCAGGTCCACCGTGGGCACGGTGCCGATGCTCTGTCCGTACAAAATGATGTTCTCCGGGCTGATCCCGTACCTGCAAGGAGACACGAGGGGGCAGGTCAGCGCCCAAGGAGCGGGTGGCAGCATCGCCCGGCTGCGCCGCCACGGGATGCAGGGAAGGAGCCAGATCAAAACCCTGGCACAGGGCAGGAACACAGAGTCAGGGGTCACACGCGCTCGTGCCTGTTGTTGGGGACCACCACGTCCCCCGGGGCTGGTGGCCTGAACTCCCCAGCGCAGAGCCCCAGCCTCGAGCCCAAACAGCCCCAGCCCTGACCCGAGACCCCCTTCACGCTGGGCTGCGCACGGGGGGCTGTTCCCCTGCCCCCCCGGCAGCTTCTCCCAGGCAGCATTCGCGGCCCCCTCGGTCCCTCCGCGGCCTCCCAGGCCTTCCGGCCACCCCTTCCTGTTAGGAGCGGCCCGGGCCCCTCTCGGGGAGATTTCCTGTTTTCCAGAGCTCCGGCCTCCAGGGTTTTCCTGGCGGTGCCGGGCGCGCGCGGCCTCCCTTCCCCCCCGGCCCGGCCTGCGGCGCCGTCTCCCCGCGTGCGCAGCGCCTGCCACGCGGCGTCGATGTCCGAGTAGAGGTTCTTCTCCGAGGGCTTGCCCGTGCTCACGCCGTAGCCCGAGTAGTCGTAGGAGAAGATGTTGCAGTTGATGCGCGTGCCCAGCCCGATGTAGAAGCTGCTCATCTGGCCCAGGTCCACGGCGTTGCCGTGCGAGAAGAGCACGGTGAACCTGCGGGCAGCGACGCGGCACTGAGCGGAGCCTCTGCGGCCCCGGGCACCCGTGTGGTGCCCGCGGCCTCCTCAGCGGAGGCCCAAAGCCAAAATCTGGCACAAAAAGGGTCAACAACCCTCTGGCCACTCAAGATGTCCTTGCAACACCCTGGTGCAGCCCCAGAGATGCCCAATCCACCCCCACTGCTGAATCTCCCCCCAGGCATCACCTGCTGTTCAGGAAACACTCCCTGCTCCTCCACCCTAACAGATCCCAACGTTTTCCTCTCCCATGGATCTACTCTCCCCCTTCCAAGGCAGAGGATGCTACCAGGAACCCCCCACGGAGACTCCGCACGGTTACGAAAGTCAGGGCTCGCTACCAGCAGAAACCGAGGCAGCCGAAAGGCAGGATTATTCCATTTGAGTTTTTGAGTCTATTTTTGGTAGAAAGCTCAGGATTCGGGGCCATTTGCCCGATGGGGATTTTCAATAAAATATCTGACAGGGAATTTTTTGCTCTCCTGTCCCTGGCGAGACGCCAGACGTGGGGAGGGAAGCGGATTGTGGGAACGGCAAGACAAGAATCCCCCATGTGAGGGGGAAGAAGAGCCTCACCACGAGCAGCGACACGAATAAGGCTCCGGTGAAGCTCCGCTGCCTTTTTCCAGAGGGAGGGAATGGGGCCCGCTCCCAGTTGAGATCCCTGCAGACAGGCCCCAGGCGCTTTGGGCCTCCATTTCACATGGCAATGCTGGAACCATGGCCATGGGATGAGGGAGCTGGATGCTGCTGCCCGGCTCGGAACTTTGAACAGAGCCAGATCGCGGTGACCGGGGGCTTGGAGACCCCCGGAACGGGGCGTTCTGATCGCTCCAACCTCCACCCCGATCCTGGAGGGGGGTTCACTGTGTGTCACCAGCACTCAAACCGCCCTCCATGGGAACAGACATAGCTACAACAGGAGGGGGAAAGGAAGCCGGGACGAGCTGAGGAATCCCCAAAAAGTGGAGGTCAAGGAGGCACCTGCATGGATCCCAGAGGGATCCCGGATACCACGTGCTGGGCAGAGGACATTGCCATGTAAGAGGCGCTTCCTGGAGCGGGAGCAACGCAGGATGGGGTCTGGCGGCTCCAGGAGGTGGGACGATCCCTGTGCTTGGGAGCAGAGGGACTTTGGAGAACTGAAGGTGGCAGAAGGGGCTCCAAGGGGACCTCCCGCCACTCCTCGGCCTCCGGAGGGCGGCTGCGACT